TAGGTTATCGGTGCTTACACCCTTCCAGTGAACATCCCCCAGAAGCAGCTCTCTCTTCACCTGCAAAGAGTGAGAGTCAGCTTTGGACACTGAACTCCCCTCTAGGTGAGAGGGACACCTTTTTCAACTTGGCTCATTGTATGTGTAGCATCTGTTCTGGAGTCTCACGATCTCTAAAATGGCATCAGGGGCAGTTGTAAGGCAGTAAGGAGTTCCTTGGGACACTATTATTTAAGGACGGTCCTCACAGTAATCACTTACAGCAACAATTGTTTACTCTTGAGAAGGAGCACTTAGTTATACATATTTATACTCATCAAAACAACAGTGACTGTTACTCAGCCAAAGACCAACAGTACAGGTGCTGGCACTGTGCCCAAGGGAGTGGATGCTTACATGAACCAGATTACCAGGCAGGACAGAGACGGTCTGGCACACAGCTAAGCATCCCGGTCAAACTAACACTAGCATGTAATATGGTTTATTATCTCAGCTGACAACACAGCAGGGTGCCTGGTATCTCAGACTGCATTGCAGCTAACCCTTCTACTTACCTCTGAGTAAAACTGTGACAGAGAAAGCGTCCCATGGAGCACAGACCTTTTCTGGGTAGCTCCATTATGGAGTGTGCTTTTCAATTCTTAGGTCAGCTACTACCCTAATGAAAATTTTTGCTTTCTGCAAAGGCATTATTTGCACCTCACCGTTGCCAACACATTGTGCTGGTTTTCTGTCCCTATTTTTTGGCTGCATTTGCCACTGGTCCAGCAGTCTTTCCCGGCGAAAGCTCCTAGCAGAGATGTAAGCAGGCTCTGCTCTCTTAGGACTGATTTTAGAAGCATTACAAGCAATCCACCAGAAGAGAGATTGCAGGCAGGCAATGGACAGGTCTGGCCCTGTCGCTGCTGCTGTTCTCAGACACTGATGAAAGCAAGCCAAATTATCAGTCATTGGTCAGCTTCTGATGTGGAGGTAACTGTGTCCACCAGAAAAGCAAAGAGAGACGTGATACCAGCTGAGTGTGAATGTAAGGATAAGAAAGGCCCAGTTCTCATATACATACGATGTGTGTGTGTGTGTGTGTGTGTGTGTATTTGCTGGCCCTATCAATACTAGGCTAGATAAAACTCTCCTTAACAAAATACTTCTAGTGATAGTCATGCCACATGGCACCTTTGAATTCTTAAACAGGGACTGTGACCTGCCTACATGGGATCAGCCACAAGGTTTCCTATGCCAGGGACTATTGTTCAAATTATTATAATAAAGTTTGGCAAAGTTTGCTTGAAGGGTTATCAGAGATTCATTACTTAACTGAGGATTACCGGGAAAGGAACACTCCCTACCTATGTTTTCTTGATCTCTTCTTTGTAGATAAGATATTTGGTCCAATGTCTGTGTGTGCATTGGCTTTCCTGAACTTGCCATAATATCCCTGGACTGGATCAACTCAGGTCAGAAAAGAAGCAGGAGATGCAACCTGCTGAGCATGGTGGGAGCTGTAACTACCGGTTGGGCAGCGGAATCCACAGCTATGCTAAATGGAGCAGATGTGGCTGTGATGTAGGGTATTGACAACCAAAGCTGGCTCACCCCTTCCCTCCCAAGAAACTTGAGTTAGTGAATGAGTTTAAATTGAAACTCATTCAGTTTAAACAGTGGCATGAAAGTCTTTCAGTTCAGTGGCATGAAAAAGTAGTACAGCCTGGTAGTCTTACTGCATGATACTGCAGAGGCTACCTTCCTTCGCTGTGGTGTTCGCCACACGGCTCTCCCCCTCAGAAGACAGCACGTGCAAATGTGTTTGAAATATTGAGAGCATGGCAGACCAAGGCTGGAAGGAGACTTCAATAGCAGGCAGCAGTCTCAGGAGTATACCGACTTCAGGCCTGAGGCTTGCTAAGGCATTGGTGCCAGGATGCCTGTAAACATGGTTGAGTGCAGTTACTTGTTATGACTGAAGAAGTGGCCTCATCTGGCAAGTCTTCCAGAAAAAGCCCAGCGGAGGGACTTTTCAAAGCCAGGCACAGAAGGAGTTGTCGGGAGAGTGGTTGCTGCTCCACATCAGAAAAACTCAACAGCAAACAATGAACAATCAGAGCTTGGCAAGCATTCAACTGAAATGACAAGGGCGCAGACTTCTGCCTGTTCATGAAGGAAGACAGTGGCATCCCATGACCGCTACTTAAGAGCAAAGATGTCAGAAAGGAAGCAAGCAAAAAAAAGGTAAAACACCAGTAAAAGTCTGTGAGCTTGCTGCCAAGGGCCTGGTCACAGACAGATGATACTGCACAAACAGGTTGTAGGTCACATGTAAAAAGCTGTTTTGAACAACTTGGCCTGTGTCAAGTCAGTTTGTCGTGGGTCAGTGATTTACCTTGTTACAGGATTGTAACAGTTCTGACCTGCTCATCAATGTCCTAAAATTATATTTAATATCATTCCTGGTGGCAGCCTGACCCCTGAGCCAAGGTTTCGCCGTGCAGAGTGTTTGGAAATAATACCAGCTTCTAACATTACTGCTGTGCCTCGCTCATGGCAGTCTGCTTCTGAACACCTCATGTCACGCAGCCATGCAATTCAAATTAGAGTAGTCTTATCTAGCTCTTGAAAGAAAGCGAAAACCAGGCTTCAATTTCACATAGGTAGAGTAGCATGGGTAAGAGTAAGGTCAAGATTTGTGAAGGTGATAATCATATCATTCAAGGAGTCAGCTTATGAATAGGAGCATACTGCCTAATCCATTTGCAAAGAAGAAAAGTTTCTCATAAAACGGCCTCTATTTTTACAAACGTAATGCAGCACCTAAAGCGCCATCACTTCTGTCATGGTTAGCAGTGGTATTTTTAGATGTTTTACCTAAAAGGACACTGGAGGAAAAATACAGATGGGCTTGGATCCTAAGTATACATGCACAGGCTAGGACCTTATTTACTTGTGTTTTTACATAGTGCTGTGTAGACCTTAGACTGGAGTCAGGAAGACACTTGTTGCTGTGCTATTATTTGAACAACGTTATTAAGTTTTTACAAGACAGTAAAGTTAATCATTCTTATGCTCACTGGCTGTAAGTGTGTATGTAAGCAAATATTTCAATAGAACACAGGGTGTAACTCAAAATAGAGTTAATGGATCTAAGGGAGCAGAACTACATTTTGCAGCAAAATATTTGTCTTTGGACTTTGGAATGGGACTGTTAGACTTTTTTAATCTCTAAGTCAAAAAAAGAAAAGTTCCAAATAGCCGTTCTTTAATTCAGGAGTAACTTCTATAATGCTGTTACGGATATTAAAGTAAATAAATATTCTTCTGCTATGTGCTTCTTTCGCAGCTGCGTGATTTGTCTCTGGCAGGAGCTGTAAGCCTGTCAGTGGCTGCAGACATGACAATTTCTGTCATGGTGATAGGACATATTTTAAAAGAGAAAGGACAACTTCAGGTCTGTGGCAAAAGAGCATGGCCGTGTTGTGTGCTTGGTTACATCACAGATGGAGTTGGTACAGTAGATATGGCTTAGTTTGCTTTTGTTTTGCCTGCCCTGTTTTCCTCTGAGCGTGCCAGTTAGGAATGTGTAAGAGCAGACATCACCAGACAGCAATCAGAGATGCTGACAGCACTTTGTCCTCTTCAGATGGCACAGTTCTCTTCTTTATTCACTAGGCAACTCTATTAGCCCTTCTTATTTCTTGCAGAATTTCAGGATTATTGTTACAGGTACTTAACTGAAACCTTCGCTTGGCAAGAAAGCACAGAGGAAGAGCGCTCAACCTAAGAGGGTTGGAGTCCTCCTCCCCTAATAAGAGCAGACAAAGAAACAAGCTGTGAATCGCAGCACAGAACCCAGCCGTGATTTAAGAGATCCTCTACTCACTGTCCCACTCCCACTCCTACTTACGTGGCCAGTATGTCTTGCTAGCACTGATAACAGCCCCTATAATTGATTGCCTCTCCCTTTTCCATCACACTTCAGTCATTACTTCTGCAGCTCACTTACACAGCAGGCAAGACAGTAGAGGCAGAGCCCAGGCTGTACCAGGGAAATTAGGTTTGGAGCTGTGGCAAGGCTGGAGAAAGCAGCTTTGACATGCACTGGCAAGACCCTCAACAGCTCTCCTATGCAACGAGGGCTGGGCCTGACCTCGGGGGTGTTTTCAAAGCCTTTTGCTCAGGGCCTACTGAGGACAGACACGGGATACTAGGCCAAGGCTGAGACTTGTGCCAAATAGCAGTAAATTTCATTACCAGCATGTTATCAACAAAAATTTATTTTTAGTTCCTGTGTGGCACTTCATACTAGTAAGATCTCTCCCACCCCGTCAGCCTACCGGTTCAAAAGCTAAGGGAAAACACACATCAACCCACACATCACATTATATATGTTTTCACTGGATACCAGCCAGGAATTTAAAATCTTGCTTCAAGTGTAGCATATCCCAGTTTTCGGCCCCTGCACAAAAGAACTCTAGTATTCCCCTGTTGGTGCATTCTCAGAATTTTACTGTGCTCCTGCAAAATTCACTGACGCAAAGGGAATACTTCGTGGAGCTACTCTTAAGGTTTTAAACCCAAATGTTCAAACCTGACTAAAAGGATTCACCTTTCAACACAGATGCAAGCTGGAAATAAACTGCAGCCTGAGATCCAGGGAGTCAAAGGAGAAATAGTAAGCCAATGCTATTGCTGAAGTAAAAATTTCAGTCATCACGTGGATAAATCCAGTGCTCCCTGAAAAAGAAAGCTAATTTTCAGGTGGGACTAAACCTCTAAGTAGTACTACTAAGAAAACTATATTAAATATTGCAAACTAAAAATCATTAAGAAAGACTGCCTATGAGCTAAAGTGGGAGCCAGCTGGCCTAGCAGTAGGTTATCAAACGGAAACTGAAATAGCAAGATAGCAAAAGAAAGTGTGGGTGAATTTCACTTCAACAAAAAGTTGGAGAACCTCACACCCTGCTGAAAACTGCACTAATCAACTTCATTATGTTGCTTCTGTTCCTCCTTCTGGGAGAGGAGTACAGCATGGGCTTGGCAAGAGAAAATAACGGGCTTGTGCACTGTGAACAACGGAAGGCAGTTTGTATCCGATCCCAAGAACCCTAGCTACGTGTCAATTTTGAGATGCAAAAGAATGCAGTCATCTGACCCATTATCTCCAACTAAGTGCTGCCTTTGCTACGATATTTATGTTTGTGTTTTCTGTTACCTGTATACTTCAGAGTGGCAAATGGAAAACTTCACTACAATTTTACTGCCTTGGATAACCTTATGGATCGCCTGTGGGAGAATAAGCTAATTCCAGGTAAGGGCAGCTGCCTTCCTCCACAACTTGCTTTATCTTTTTGCCCATATTGTGCAATTATCAGAGAATTCTTAGTGAGCTTAGCCAAAGATAATTTTGTTCAAAATTCAGTTTTTCTACTTGCATTTGCCTTCGGTCAAAGTAAATGCAAACTCTGTGCACAAAACACCGTTGGGGCAATTAAGACAACACAGTCCTACTGCTTTTACGTCACTTTCAACGCTAGTCTGAGATATATGAATTGTGAAATGAGATCTCCTGAAGGGGAGAAAACTGTGTACCTAGGAAGGGGCTAGAGAAGCAGATCTTTGAGATTTAGCTTCCCTTGATTTTTTACAAACAGGCAACAGCTGAAGTTCCACTTAGCCTTGAATTTATGGTTTAAGTCTTACTATGGGTAATGTCATCGATAAGAAACAAGTGTGAGCAACCTCAAATCTGAAATATGCCTGCAGACAACATGTAGAAACAGGAAAGAAATCCCATTTGATGGATGCGTCTTCATTATCTATTCTTCTTTGTTAACCAGTTAGTGTCAGATAATACAATACCCCTGAGTTAACCAAAAGGAAATATCATTCACAAAAAAGGAAACTAATCTTTTGTATCTATGTTAGGTTTTGAATTGATGGGAAGTCCATCCGGATTTTTTGAAGATTTTGAAGATAAAGACCAGGTAGTGAGATGGAGGAACTTGATTAGACTTCTGGCCAGGAGATACATAGGTAAGTTCAAAAAAAAAAAAAAAAAAAAAAAAAAAAAAAAAGTAAATAAAAAAAAAAAAAAAAAAAAAAAAGAACTGCCTGACTATTTATCCTACTGTAATCCCTTCTTCTGACTACCTCCTGAAGTTCTGTGGGTTGCCATCAATAGCAAAACACTGGAGTTCAGAAGAGAAAGAAGACTTATGCCAGTACAGCCAGTGAGGCAATAGCCCCCTTTCTGCTGACCCAAGAGCAGCAGCCTGAACAAATAATGTTTTCTGGGCACCACTCTCGGCCTGCTTCTGAGGACTGAATTTTAACTTCTTTTTGTTGCTGTGGCCATAAACCACCAGTTTGCCCTAAGGCGTGATAACCTCACATGACAGATTCAAACATCTCCAACCATGGAGAAGCCTGAACCTGGGTCTCCAACAGGTTAGACGAGCGCCCTAACCTCAAGGCTATAATCCACATCATCCCACTCTCTAATTTTATTAGTTGGTCCTTTCATCTTTTTCAAATATTGCTATATTTCATCCAAAATCATCTTTCCCTGACTATTAAAAATAAATAATATTTACACCCTGTTGTAGCTCTGGCAGCTAAACCTCACATGCAATACATGACTAACTGATAGGAATTGTCTGTACAAAAACTGAAGCTCACTGCTAAATGAAGCCTCTTATACAGATAGATATGGATTGGAACATGTTGCTAAATGGAATTTTGAAACTTGGAATGAACCAGATCACCATGACTTTGATAATGTGTCTATGACAGTGAAAGGTAAGCATGTTTTGGAGCACTTTCTACTTTAATAATGTGAGAGGTGGGGGCAAACAGGGAGAAAGCAGAGTTACTAGCAAAGAAATGAGATAGATAAGAAACATCCAGGTGTAATAAGTATGCTTTGCTAAGGTGACGTTACTGACTACAACAGGCACTTGTTTCCTGGCTTAAACATCAGTATAAATATCGGGGGAGCAGAACAGGGGAAGCAGAATAAAAGTTACGTTAACAAGACCCTCTTCATTATTTGGATATAAAATGGGGTTATTGTGGGTAGGAGGGTAGGGGTGGGATTAGAGGAAAACTGTTTATTGACTGATGCATCCTTTGGGAACCTGTCCTCACAAGGTCTTTGGAGGAACCTCCTGAATGAAGCTGAGATTTTGACATCTGGTGCCATCAGTGCATAGAAAAGAGTAGCCCCAGCTTCTGAGGTTCATTGAACATGTTTCCGAACAATGCGCGCAATAATAGAAAGAATTATAACATCTCTCCTTAGTTTTAAATGAAGATTCTGTTTTGAGTTGTCATCATCTTTGGTATATGCATCTGCTTGGACTTCAGGGTTTCTCAACTATTACGATGCTTGCTCAGAAGGATTAAGAGCAGCCAGCCCTCTATTGAAATTTGGTGGGCCAGGAGACTCCTTCCACCCCTTCCCTAAGTCACCCCTATGCTGGAGTCTTCTATATCATTGCTACAATGGAACCAACTTCTTCACAGGAGAGACTGGCATAAGACTGGACTACATCTCTCTCCATAAGAAGGTCAGTCCAAAAATTCAGTTTAAAGGAAGCTGTTTCTTGCTCAGTTGAGTGTCAAATTGGACTTCATTCTGATTTATGAAGTGACTGTCAGATGAGTGTCCTGCCTATAGCAGGAAGCATACCTACCTGTTCTAAAGAGTGTTTGAAGGTATCCACTTGAAAGATTTCAACTCAAAGCAAATTTGCCTGTGCCTTATTCCCGGGTGAAAACAACTCCTCTGTTTCTTTTTCGTTTTATCTTTTAGAAGGAGCTCCTCCAAACACCACATGCTGTGATGGATTAGGTAACAATTTCTAATTCCATCTGGTCCACAGCTTTTCCAAAATCCCAGGAACATATTTTCAGAGAATACTGTACATTTGCCACTCTTTTCTTGCTTTCACTAAGCAGATATAAAATATTGTTGCAGGGAGGTGGGAGTTCGCTCTACATCTTGCAACAAGAAGTAGAAGCAATTGAGCAAATTCAGAAGCTGTTTCCAAATTTTACTTCTGTTCCCATATACAATGATGAAGCAGATCCGATGGTTGGATGGTCAGTTCCGCAGCTATGGCGAGCTGATGTGACCTACGCAGCTATGGTCGTAAAGGTAACTCAGTTCACTGACAGTCTTGTCACGGTAGAGTCTCCTGAAGCACTAATGCAGTTGCAGAAGTAGACTTACAGTTTTTAAATGGCTAGTCAGAGAAATAGAGCCAGAAAGAACCAAGCAGCTGGATTTTCTCCAAATAGTCTGTTCTCTGTAGCTTTATTTAGTTTGCATTAATTTTCCTCATCTTCCCTTAGAAAAACCCCAAGAACTAGCCTTCCATGTGTTGCAGAATGTGTCGGAAGTTGTGTACAGTCCCCTAGTTAGATCCCGCTGATAACACTATGCACACACATTCTCTCTCCATAAATACTGTCACCTCGTTTCTATTGACCGTTATTCCCAACTACCAGAGGGATACTAGTGCGACAGCCACAAAGTAACTGCAGAGTTGGAGAACCACTCAGATTTAGTTTCTCACGGTCACCTGGTAAATCCAGATAACTAACCTCATATTCAAGCCAGAGGAATATCACTTTTGTAGTGCAGTAGCTACGGAAATATATTAATAATTTGTGCATACTACTAGTCAGGAAGTAGTCATTTCAGAGGCTTTTTACTGGCTAAACTGCGTATATACTTAAATGCTTCAATGACACGTATAAACTATCACTAAATAAATAGTTTCTGTAAAAACTGTGAGAAACAGGGTTAGTTCTTCAGACTTTTCTAAATGACAGTATGACAACTCTTTTCAATACGATAAAAAGTTTTGAAAACAAGGCTTCAAGCATTTTTTCGATCTCCTCCAGGGTAAAGTCCCTTCTCTGTGATTTTGCAGGTCATCATCCAGCATCAAAACCTGCTCATTTCCAAACCTAACAACACCATCAATTATACTTTGTTGAGTAATGACAATGCCTTCATGAGCTACTACCCCCATTACTTCACACAGCGAACTCTGACAGCACGGTTCCAGATGAACAATACAAAGCCACCACACGTCCAGATGGTGCGGAAACCAGTGCTGACTGTCATGGGCTTACTGGCACTGCTAGGTATAGTAACCACCAATTAAAAAGCACATCAATAATCCTGCCTACGGTCAAGCTTCGTGTCTGAGAGATATTATTTCATCTGTCTCACCCCAGCAAAAGCAGAATTTCCCCTACTCTCTGTTTGCTGGCCGTGAGTGTTAAAGAAATAAACTTTTCATTTCCTCTGGGAAATTATTAGCTCAGGAGATCTTCCTGACAGTCTGTCATCCCTTTAATTAATCCTACTACGTTGTTTATACCCCCTGTATGCCAACCACTCATTTTCTGTGGATTATTACTTCCCTCGTGTGCCATCACTTCAGGCTGCAGATGTCTTTAAGAAACCCTCATACCTGGAAGACCTATCCAGCATACTAAAGGGAGGTCTTATTTCACTGTTACATGCTTAGACTCTGCCTAATGAGCAGTTAAGCAAAAGAACTGCCATAGTAGGTGGGTGCTCTGCAGTTGTAAAAACCACCCATAAGCCTGATTGATGCTATCCCTGGTAAAATCGGCTAGAGCACAGTTCAACCTACAGCTCACCCCTTGTTTTGCTCTTTGCTGTATCAGAAGTTGGACTGACTAGCAGTGGTGCTTAAAGAGTTGTTCGATTTCTTTAAAGGAGAAAAGCAGATTTTTGCAGAAGTAAACAGCTGTGAAGCCAAAAGCACAGAGAACAGCACAGTCGGTGTCCTGGCATCTGTGCACACCCCAGCTGAGCAGCAGCCCTCGGACAGCTGGCAAGCTGCTCTACTGATATATATAAGTGAAGATAACAGGACTTCACTCAACATCAGTACTGTTACTGTGAACGCTACCCACTTCCCCAAACTTGAAGGTAAGCAAGCACCATGTAGGCAGCTCATGTCGTTGATCCTTAGGAGATAACATATGCTGAAGCATTTCTACAGGATTGCATTTCATGGCAAGAGTGAGACTTGCATTTGCAAACTATAACTCTCAGTCTTTTGGGCTCTGCTGAGATTTTCTCACATCTGATGCTGTGCTACTAGGAAAGGTTCTTTCCTAATGCCTACATTTTGTCCCTGCCTGTAATGGAGCTGCAAATGCTACCTTTTCAGAAAGCTATCCATCTCAGTTTCCTTGGTTAGATGTTTCCAAGCAACAGTTCCTCTGCTGAGGTCACTCCAAGGTAGCCAACGTGACCACATGATTACACAATTGTCCAAGAGATATGTGCAGCAGCTATGAATGTACGAGACGGTTTCTATTCTGGATATGGAAGCAATAGCTTGAACTTTAAGCTAGAAAATATGAGTTGTAGGGCTTTTCAAGAGTGCTAGCCCCAAGCTCGTGACTGGAAGCCAGGCTCCGAAGTGCTGAAATCATTTTTGAGAAGGTAGACTTCAACATTTTCTGCTAAATTTATTCTTGGCAGTCTTTAAATCTAAGTGAAAGGTTTACTCTCTTTTGTTTGTGTTCCCGAAGAGCTGGTCTATGTGACATACTATCTGGACAACAAGCAAACCAATCCCTACCTGATATGGAAAAAACTAGGAAGCCCTGACTTTCCTTCCCCAGAACAGTTCCAGCAAATAAGGGATGCTGAGGTATGAGCATGTATTTGCTTGAAACGTCATAATGGGTAAACTGCCTGTGAATTGGTAGCTACAGCTAAGCAGACGAGACATCAGGTGCTCAGGATTTCCTTAATCCACAGTCATGCACATCTCAGGTATATGTGTTAAAATGGACTTGCAGAGAAGTGTAGCTTACAGACAGCTGATGATACCTTTACATTCTTGTTACACAAGAGACTAAATGTAGAGCACCAGCTTCTTCACTGTTTGCTGCCCCTGGCAAAGTGACTGGCCTACCCTCAGCTAAGGAGGCAGAACTGCTCTGGAGCAAGTTCCACCTCTGCTGTGAAACTTCCTCGAGCTTTGAGACTACTGTTCTCAGTCACCCCTAACAAGTCACCTGGCCTTGTGTGGGTTAAGGACTGGTCAGATTGCCTCAACAGAGAATGAAACACCTTCTCTGTTATAGAGTGCACATAGCCCCTTGAGATGGAAACTACTCAGAGCAAGTTCAGGAGACACTTGGCCTCTCCTCCTGGCCTCTCTCAGGGTCTCTTAGGGAGGCTTGCTGTTTTGCTTCACCTTCACCAATTCTGAATTCACAGTAGCGGGGACAGAGCAATAAGTTCTCAGATTTCTCCTCTTACTGAGAAAACCCATGACCAGACTGCTTCCTGATGGAATATGTGAGCAGCATGTCACGTCTGCTCCTTCTCCCATGGTTTCCCTATGCATTGAGGCCCACAAGTTAAAGTAAAGGAGAACACATATGCTACTTCTGGGCCCACAAATCGTAATTGACTTCTGACTTGGCTGTATAGTACTATATCTTCTCTTCCCAGTCACCTTAACCCACTATTTGCTAAGGCCTGTGGGATCATACAGGATCTGCCTTCTGCCAAGCAGCAGCAAGCTTTTAGATCCTCTTGGCCGTCTTGTGAAACCTTATCTTCATAGACCAGCTGAGTGTCAGTTCTTGTAACTAGGAATAATTTTCACTGTACACTGGAGATCCATAGCAAAGATGTAGGAGAGGGGTTTGTAAATATCACTAGCCTGAATTGTATGCCTGGGAGCCTACTAGAAATGACAGTCCAATTGCTTTAAAAACATGATTCTCCTGTGGGAATCCCACATGGCATCTAAGGCCTACCCATTCTGTAGCAGAAACAAACTCTGCATGTTCCCTGAAGAGCTGGAAGATAGGCTGGATAGAAAACAGTCTCCCAGGCTGGAGTACATTTATAATTATTAGCCACTTATCAGCATGTGTTTACAACTCTCATGGAAATTTACAGCCCCAAAGTAAATACACAGTTACTTTACATTGATCTAGCAGTTAGCCATTAGTAGCTGTAATGATAATGAAAGATTATTCATAAGGCTTCTGTTTGGCCCCACAGGACCCGGTGGCAACAGGCCCATTCCCGCTCCCTGAAGGTGGTGTCCTGACCCTGAAACAGGATTTCCCAGTTCCTTCAGTCTTTCTTATCCACATCTGTGCAAGACCCCGTTCTGTTCCTGATCAGGTATGTGCTGTGTTTTTTTAGCATGAGAGATACCACTCATGAAGTTAGAAATTGCATCCACACCACTTCTTTGAATCTCACTGAGAAGTGGACTAGCATTTGGTCTACAATTGGTTAAAGTACTATGGGAGACTTAGTAAATAAATAGGTCTTCTCTCCTTAAAAAAGAGGGCTTAATTCAAGATAAAGCATTTCACAGCAAGTGGTAGGAACTATCACTGAGATAAATCTAAGCTCACCAAAGATGGTGAAATAGTAATGCGATTATGGAAGGTGCAGTCCCCTAAATCATGTCGTGTGCTGTCAGGCTTCACAACAGCTCTCCAGTTAAAAATTCATAGCTAAAAATAAGAATAGAATCATGACTGTCGCAGCTTAGACATCTAACCTGTATCTGCTTGTTCAGTCCTGATCAGGAAGTGTGTTCACAGTGGTGCCCAGAGCCTCTGAAGATCCTCAGCAAGTGATTAGGTGGCTGAGAGCACTGGACAACTTGGAGACATAGGCTACAAAGACACAGCGCCAGGGCTTTTTTTTTTTTTCTCCTCCTCTCCAAGGAACAATTCAAAAAAAAAGTCAAAGGCAGGATGAACATAGAATGTCTGACCTGGCCGACTAGTTTGTACAGCTTTCTTACAGGGGCGTTTGTCTTTGGGTAGGTGACTGGTGTTCGTTTCATCCCTCTCACTAAGGGGCAGGTTATTGTGTTGTGGGACGATGGCTGTGTGAATTCAAGGTAAGAGCCTTTCAAAGTAAAATGGATGTAACTGAATTACCAGCACATGACTCTCTAAGTTGTCACCACTCCTACAAAGTGAAAAGGTCACTTATTAATGATTACTAGCTCCCTACACTGCTTTTGTTTGGCAAGATGTACTGTAGGATCCACATGCAATACCCATGGAGAGGAATCCTCACTATTTTGCTGTCTGAGCAAGAGAATCAGCCAGTGGCTCATGAGCACCCAGTGGCATTTTGAGGGACTTGTCTCCTGCAGAGCAGACAGGAAGAGCCACAATGAAAGCCTAGGCTAATATTCTGTGGAGGTGTGGGCTGGAAGAGAAAACTCCCAGTTCCTTGCTCCAGCAATCTATACTAGACCAGAAGCCTTCTATGGGCTGTCTGTCAGTGGCTGTCCGGTACCCGTGCAGACTGCCCCAGGAAGCACTGGCTTCATTCTTTTTCAAATCAGGCTCCCTTAACCTCCCAAGGGTTATCCCTCTTGATAACCCTTGATATAGGAATAAAAGATGCTTACCAGTTTCAGATGTCCCAAATATATAGCATTAGCAAGTCAGTCTGAGCGCTCTTCTCTGGGCTGTTGGAGCTGTAGACTCTCGTCATACTGATAACCCATGCCAACACATACTTGGTAGGAGCAAGACAACACCAACTCGTATTTGGTAGGAATAAGTCAATTAAAAATTTCCTACTTCTGTCCTTCTTTGTTAAAATGGCCTTGAGATAAGGATCTGATTCTTCACTGCATTATCAACTGTAATTACCAGCCTATCTGGTTTTTCTTCTAGATGCATAAGGACATTTGAAGTGGAATTCTCACCAGATGGAAAAGCATACCAGCGGATTAATGCCAAAGACACAATATTCACTCTCTGGGTCTACAGTCCAGGTAAGGCCACAGCTCATGTATTTGGTGATCTGGGATGTTACTACTTGCAGTCATGAAAGTATGCAGCTTCATTTAATGACTGCTGAAAATACATACCTTGCTGAGTGGTGTACATTCCCATCACAAATGAGAGTACGTCTCTTCCTTTAGGATCATGCGTTTTAGGACCAGATTCTCAGTGCAAGCCTTTTCTCAAGGACAGGCATTTATGGACAAATAATCAAGAGGGCTTTGTTAGGAGTACTGCTATGAGTCAATAGCTTGCCACAGAAACCAAAATCACCCAACCGTGGGCCTGGCAAGCTCCCTGAGAGGCCAAGAAGCTTCTCTGTCTCTGTCCTTAGCCTCACATTTCTTGGATAGAGCCATGCAAAAATTAGAGCAAAAAAATTGGCTCTACATTTTACTGTATTGAGTAGGATATGCAGTACCCAGCACTTGTCCTGCCAGCAAGTGCTGTCTGTGTTTTGTGGATTTACTGGGAAGGTATAAACGTGACCCACAGATGCTTCCTGACAGGGCTTGTACCATGCCCATCCCACTCAGGCAAAGCAGAGACAGTCTCGGATACAGTCTCGGATACTTAATTCACTCAGTTTCTGCTGGTGCGAGTTAAGACAGAAAGGTTATCAAGATAGTTGTTACCAGCTGCACTTCAAAATAGATAGTAAGAAGCTATTCTTTATTTACATCTGAGGGACCTACTTTCTCTTCCTTACTCCAGGTTTGACCATTGCAGCAAAGGAGGCCAGAAGTAAGTATGGCACATTCCTGCCTCTGTCACAATGGCTGTGTCCCTCAGCAGGACAGTTTTGCTAGCAAACTTTACAGAGAGTCAAATTTGTCCTTGCCTGCAACTTTTACTTCTGCAGCAGCCGAACAGGTCTGGACAGTCCACCATTACCCAGTGTATGCCCTGTGCTGCCACCTCCACTGGTGGGAGTGACACAGAGGTCTCAGCACCGACAGCTGTGGGGAAACTTAGTATCGCATCCTGGGACAAAAAGGGACTGGGAAGCAGACAGCATGGACAAAAGTACCTGCCCTTGCTGCTGCAGGTGACTGAACTGGCATTGTGCTAATCTTCCTGCTCTTGGTTCTAGACTCACAGCAAGGAAGGCTGAGGTTCAGTCCTACAGATATTGGCCATAACTTAGGCTAAATGTGATGCAAATATGGTTCTTACGCTCCCTTTGAAGTAGGAAGAGAGGAGCAAGCTGCCTTGGTCACACTTGTTTTTGCATCAGTGTCCTGACTTGTTAAGTGCCCCAGGATGTGCTGTTGACCTACAGGAAGTGTGATGTCACATCCCTTTCGCAGAAGGGTTGGGTGTCTTCTATTTATTGTGTGCTGAGCTGCTTCGTAAGCTCACACTTCTGCTCTCCTCTTTGTCATCCATCCCTATTTCCATACCTTTTGGCTGGATTACAGCTTGCCAAATTCAAGCTACTGAGGCTCCCTCTTGTAAGAACAAGAGAAGAGGCTCTCCAGGAGCACGGTTTTGTCCTGGCTATCTGAATATCCATCTGAACCAGTTTGTCTTGGCTATCTGAGCCAAGGATGAATCCCTCTCTTTGATACAGAGCAGCTTTCTAACTCGCTTTGACTACTGCCTAAGTTTTAGATGTTTCACGTTAGAGGAGAGTGAGTTCCATCTTTGCCACCAGACAAAGCTTCCCTTAGAGTCTGTGATCATATCTCTTCAAGTACAGCCTAAATGCAATAGAAGCACATGCTGATGAGTAAAGCTGAAAGAAGGAAAGGATATTTTCTTTGTTTTTGTTTTGTTTTGTTTTATCGAAAGCGGTTTAATTCACAATGTCACTCACTCCAAGAAGTATTACTGAAAGGCACTATTACTGAAAGGCACTGATCAGAGCTGTATGAAACACAGATGGACCTTGCCTCAAAGTGATACTAATGAGCAACTCAAACAGGATTTTGCCAGAAATGCAAGCTCACCTTAACCTGAGTAAAGCTTAGCATTAGTAGTGGGCACGTGATAAAGTTCAGAGTTGTTACTGCAACGTAAATGCTGCTAAGGAAAGCAAAGACTGTAAGTCATGGCTAAGGCAAGTTTCTGAGTTTAGAATTCATTATCATACAGTATTTCACATTTGGGGAATATTCCAGATCTAGTTGTCTGTTTCAATAAGAAAAAAGAAAAGAAAGCTTGAAAAAAATCCCACATCTCAACAGCCTTTATTGCTAGGTGCTTTCACCTTAGTCGTTATTTCTAGCCTTTTTTTAAGGAGAAGACCATGAAATATGCAAACACATGCAAAAAACAAGGCAGCAGATAAGAAAACCCATACTTAAACTGTTTGTGAGGTGCAAATCTCTGCCAGTGAAACCTGTGTTCTCTGAACAAGAGCAAGCGTGAAAGCCAGCAGAGCTACAGAACAGCAACTCACATACCTTTGGACTAAGTGGTGTTGCCTCCTGAGTTGAGCAGAGAGTTTTGAGTCAGCATGCTCCTTGTTCTACTCCTCTGTTGTCCTGTCCACACATAACCTGTTCCAAGTGCGTAATAACAGCCAGAATTTCAAGTGAATCAGAAAAAAAGAAAGTAGTTGTTATTGGTCAGAGAAGTTGTGATAGCCTGCTTCCAAAGGGACTGCTGGGAAAGCAGTCCTGTAACTGAACTCCCAAATCCTAATAAGGAGAGAGGAGGTCCTTGGAGCAACAAAAGAAGAGCCAGCATTTGGTTTTGAGGAAGTTATAACTATTTATAGTTAGACAGGTACAGACACACTTACTTAGGGTGCAGAACTGATTTCACCACTTCCCCAGTCCATTCCTCAAACCTGTGTTTTGTAAGAGTAGCACCTGCTCCACATCCTTCAAGCACCACTGATGTCACCCTTTCAAAGTGACTATACCTAACCTTCTCATTGCAGGAAGCTCAGTCTCCGGCTTTTACAGAGTGCGTGCCATTGACTACTGGGGGAAGGCAGGCCTGCCCTCTGTTCCTGTGGAATATGTTGAAGCTTTCAGGCGAATCTGAAGAGTGGTGCCTGGCTTGGTGGCTGGGTGGTGTATGCTCCCTGCAAATGACAACTCCTCAGAAAAATAAACTCCTCCCAAACTGAGGAGGGAGTACAGAAGGGACCTGATGAAGCAAGTCAGGAATGCAAGTTAGAAGCTACTGCCCCTATTAACTCTTCAGAACTCAAAGACAATGTTATCAAACAAACAGCCATATCTGACAACCCAACTGGTACAATTGTAAGAAGCTGCTGTAGGACTGGGATTCAGTTTGGTCATTCGGCGTTCTGGGAATAAATAGCTATTATTTGTGATATCACACAGAGCTAATGCCAGGGACAGCCAAAGATTTATGGAAGCCACAAAACGCAACAGAAACAGGACCATCACTTCACTGTGCAGGTGAAGACAGCAACAGAGGCACCAGGAGGACCCGTATGAGACTGCACTGCCGGCCCTACGCTTCCAGGCTGACTGTCATAATGGCGTGATGGAAGGCTGCAGGACCACAGGGCAGAGCATGAAGAGCATGAAGAGTCCCCACATCCAAAGCATGAAGAGTCCCCACATATCCCGGGCTGTGCAAGACATGTGCATTCACACATGCTGTAATGGGTTATTCCAGAGCACTTGCTCTGTCTTCAGACATAAGAGGTTCTTTCCTTCCTCATACAGGGATTTCCACAGAGCTGATTGTGCGTTTGGGGCTTTTACTCGCATGTCAGAGCTATTCCCATCACACAGGCAAAAGAAGGAACAGCAGCTCGTCCTCAAAGAGGGAATCTCACAGAGAAAGCTCTAGCCTCAAGACTTACCTGCCTGTCCTGCTCTCTGCTTTAGCCTAAGTCATCTGTTTGCACCGTGGAGGTCTTTGTGGTTGTCCAGCTCCCTTAATTGCTGCCTCATCGTAGAGAAGCCCCTCTTTCTCTCCACTGCGCTCACCTAGCCTAGCTTCCTGCAGTCCTTACAGTTTGCATCTCGCTCCCCAGCAGAAATTACTTCTGGAGTCTCATGCTGAAACTGTAAGGGAAATGAGGCTTGGCTTTGGGTGGCCAGGAGAAAGTTAAAATGGTAGCTGGAGCTTTTTGTGTTTTCATGCTATAGCAAGGCATGCTTTTGAATGTAACAGAGGGCTGCTACTGCTTGTCGGTTAGGAAACTAACCAGGAACAGCTTGAACATCTGTGTTTCCCAAACATGCTCAAGTGTGTTATTGCCTTAGATAATGAGGTACAGAACACCACTGGATGTCCGTGCATATGCCAAACACTTTATGTAACGAGAAAGTGCCCTGGAATTACAGGAGTGTTTTTTTACTCTCCCCTTCTTCACAACCAGAGCACTTTGAACTCTGCCTTTAAAACGGTTATAGGGGGAAGGATAATGCCTGTGGAAACAGCTGGAGTGTTTTCTGTTAGAGGAGCGACTTTGTCGCACAAACAGCTCCCCTGCTGCTCTCTTTGCTGACGTCAGCCACTTCACCAGCATAACAACAATGCTTGCATATTTGGTGAAACATTCAAGTCTCGGACACAAAATCAAGTTTGCACAGTAGGAGAGAGCTAAACTACGTCAAACGGCCTCACTTTTACAGCATGGAAAAGACGCATATATTAAAAAGTCGGTATATATCAGACAAGGCTTATTATCTCCTTTCCTTCTTGCTACTTGTTCGTGTGCTTATGCTCAAAGTTAGCTGTGAAAGATCCATGTTGTCTCAGAATTCAGGTAAAACATTTTGTGTCTCACTGACGTTTGAGAAAGAAGCCTGTGCCACATCCTCAGCTGTCAGCTTCTCACCCACAGAAGCTTGTGCTGGTGCAGGATGGAAAAAGGAGATGTGAGGTTACTTAATTCATTAGTTTCCCAGGTGCAAAAATAAGTTAATGAGAAGTTCCACTTGGAAGGAGAGAGCAGTAAATTAGAGTAAAACACATTTCAAAGTTGTTATAAATATCTCTAAGTGAAGAATCAGAAAATGCAGTTAAACAAATCCAGCAGTGAAGGTGTATTGATTTATCAGTGTGAAGCGGTACCACAGAGCTCGTGAGTCCCAGTGGAATGTTTGGCTTTTGCAAAGCTGCAATACGTGAATGATGATTCACTCATCTCATTCTTGCCCCTATGGCAAGTAATTTCCGTTAGAGGACATTACCATCTTTTAGAAGGTTTTAGACTGGAGGCTGTCCTGGCACAGGATTTCCCTAGTCGAGGCAGACGTAAGGCTTATAGCTGCCTCTTTGCTCTGTCTTCTAATTCTCATGCGTACTTTTTTTGTCTTATTAGGTGGCAAAGTGAGGATGCTATTTTATCCAAAGTTTCAAGGTAAAATTTCAGGCATTATCATATTGCCTGTTGAAGCCCCACCAAAAGCAGGAATTTTATTTGCAAGGTCAGAGCACAGCATGCTATAGATGCAAATAACATCACATTTTTTAGGATGACCAGGTCCAACCACTTTTAAGATCTGTCATTAGCTCCCTCTTTTAGATATTCTACCCTTAACATCATCCAGAGAGTGGAAACATGTTCTAGAATATTTCTACTGATGGTACAAGGCTTTTTCAAGTATTTCCTTGGCAGTGGCAAATGTATATGGAAACCAGAGCTGAACAAAAATGGTGGGATGGCTGTGCTGAATCAGATTTTGAATATTCAGCATTTTCTTCTTCTGTGCTGCTTTACTGCACTTTGTATAAACTTACTCCTTTCGTCAATGAGCAAGTCTGAAAAAAAGGCAGCAGAGGAGAAAATGGTTTGATATTTCCAGGCTGCATTTTATTTTCAACAAAGTGTATAAGTTTTGGGCTGCTCTGTTCTTTTCTATAATCAAACTTCTAGAAAAAATAATATTTAATACATAAAACTTGACATTTCTGTAATGATCTGTCCCTGACTCCATCTTGTAGGGCTTCTGACGTTACGTTCTAAATCCTTCAACTCTAGCACCTCCTCCTTTACCAGGGCAAGTGTTGCCTAATGTTTTAGTTTTCAAAAGTCGCAGGTGTGCATAATGCTAAGTGGGAGTTGCAGGTGCTTAGCAGTCCTATAGCATCAGAACAATAAGCAAGACTGTTGAGCGCTCATATGTATCTCTTGCTGGCAAACAATATAAAGAAGAAAATCTAACTGCAGGAGGAGATTGTTTGGCTGCCCTTTAAGCAAAAGCTTCTAAGGTTATATAACAGTTTTGCAGCTGACTGTTAAAATCCATACAGGGAAAAACTTTCGAAGGGATGTTTTATGTTATCTGACAGTGTGTATGTTGCATTTGTTACCATCTTTGGTACTATACAATAAAATCAGTTTCTAATCTTTCACATGAATCCTATAAAAAACAGGACTTGATCATTGTGTTCTGGAAACAGCTCAAAACTCTCAGAAAGGCAGTTATTCATGTGAAGTAAAATCTGTTCTCAAGGTATAGGAGACTCCTTGATTTATGGAACTTGCACCAAGTTCCAACATTATATAGACATAGGGAGTGTGACCGTAGGAAATGTTGAGGTTAAACTAGAAATTTAAGTGCATATATAGCCTTGTGCTTAGTTACCACAGTCCTAGGCATTATTGTTTGAGCTCAAGGGGGAAACTGGTCTAACACAACATGATACTCTAGCATGAGATCACAGGACTTGCACTGTCCTTCTGGTAGGAGGTTCGCTGATGTGTGAAGGTCAAAATCCTTGCAGGGTTCCTCCTGCTGTTGCACAGTCACAGCCACTCTGTCAGCACCAAAGAACCTTCTGAGGACAAAACAACAGTCCTTCACATTTGTAAACAGCTTTTTCTTTTCTCTTGTTAGTGGAAAGTTTATGCAGGACAAGGACTGTGATTCAGGACCTGTGTACACACTTAAAATCAAGAATAACAGCCTGGTTCATTAAAGGTAAGATAGCAAAGTGTCATTTGAACCAAGGCTGTAACGCATCCAGCCAGCTCCAAGGCCACGCAGAAGTGTGTCTGCCTCTAGACACACACTTTTATATGTCTAACGCAACGGGCTAAGACGACGGTAAATCAAAGCAGAATGGACTCCTACCTGCCTGTCCACCCTACCTAGTCTCTGTAGTCTGTGGAGAGAAACAGACATGAGCTAATTAATGTGGTCCCATCTGTTCATTAACTAACCAGATCATATGATGAGGGCCTGCCTGCAGTCCTGATGGGAATGTGTTCTCCCCGTTCCTCCAAGGACAAACCAGGCTCACGGGTCATGTACAACGGAGCAGCATGTTCGGCTAGAATCGCCACTATCCTCCTACATCCTTAGAGGCTCAACACTGCATGGCAGAGAAGGGATTTCAGTGCTTAGCTCTTCTGTACAGACTATACCAAGCACAGTAAGGATGTTAGCATCTAGTTCCTGCTTGCTGGATCTCCCAGCTGCTCTGATCATACAGATGCTATAACTGCAGGCACTTAAAAATCCCTCTACTTTAGAACTTGTAGTATTGGTGCGTATGTCTTGGCCAACGACCAGGCTCCCTCAGCTAGGGGTTAATGTTGTCTAATCGATCGTGATACAAGTCCTAAGTTCACAGAACCCCACCCTAATACTTCCTCATGGGAGAGGGGCAGTTGCTGAACGTTCAATCAATGCATCGACCTTGCACTTAGTCCAGAACAAAAGGCTGATATTTTTTCAGCACTTGATAGTCTCCATCAGTATGGTATTGCCTGCTTCCATTTCTGTCTTGAGGTTCAGGTGGTAGTTCTTACTTCCCTTCAAGGTACCTTTCCTAGATCAGTAAAGCAAAGAACACTTTTTGCTTGTAGTCTCTGCTGGCTGAGAGGCTTAAGAATCCCAGCTGGAAATCTTGGGAAAAGCAAGTTTGAGACAGCTCCCTAGAATATTGTCTCTGACCTTGGAGAAGAGTCTTTAGTCAGCGTTTTACATGCTCCTTCTAACCGATGTGGTACATAATCATTGGCAGCGTCTAATAGCTTATGCAGGCATCTTGCAGAAGCTGTTTTATGGTGTAGTGTTCTGAAAGCTCTTCACTCAATAGTGCTATATAGCCTATCAGTACCCAAAGGCCGGGGCTCTCCAATTTGTTTTCCAGTGTTGCCCTCAGTAATTATGACCTGGAAAAATCTGGGTTGCTGATAAACTGCAGGGTTCAACATGGTGGTGGGGGTATTCTGGACTGGCAGTTTTATTCATGGGAAACATCCTAAGTGAACGTGATTGTCTCGAGAGTAATGGAAAATGCGTGTCTGGAAAACAGTGATGCAAGTTCCACTTTTCCTGCAAGGAATTGTCTAGATACTGGTCTTTCAGTTCCTCATATCTGTGAGATTCATGGCCAAAAAACCTGTCAGCTGTATCTCTCTCAGAGACTGAGGCTGGATCATGAAGTAATAGGGAGTAAATTGCCACATATGCCATACAAAGTGCAAGTGACAGCTCCATTAAAGAAACAGCCTGTTATTGACAGGAACACTTGCTTTGCTGCATTCTTGATTCAGGATCTTACTAGAAATGCTCTGTGGGTCTTTGAGCATTCAGATGTACCAGAAATAATGATATTTATTTTCTAGCCAAGCAGCAAGGATCACATTATCAGCTTCATCTCAGAGCTGTTGTTCAAGAGGGTTTTATAGCTTCAGAATTTAGACAGAAATATTGGGTGAGAGAGGGGCCATGTTGTAGGTATGCCTGTGCCCAGCCCTGTGACCTGCTACCCTCATTCACTGTCTGGGCTCCCTGGCTGGACCCTGGACCTGCCTTGTCATCATGCATTTCTCTGCTGATCGTGGCGCTGTTGGTGGGACCTGCCTCTGTCACCACCTCTACCCTGTGCCCCCTGCTTGGCACTGCACTGCCCTGGTGGGGGGGGACACTGCCTATCTGCATGGGGGCTGCCCTTGGCTCCCCACTCACCTTGCTCCCCAACAATGTGTAACAAAAAGCAGTGACAGAGGTTTTTTTAAAAACATTTATTGACAAACGCCGTGTTAGGTATTCCCTTGAAAATTCAAATATCAATACTGTATTGCACACAATTTGCAAAAAACAAACATTTTTCATGTGTTTTTCAGGAAAAACACACTAGTCCAAACTATGATTTTCTTTTTTTGATTAGCTGAATGACAACTTCAAGACCAAGAGGTCTGGTTCCTGTGCTTAAGGATGGAATCAGAAGTATATTTTAGCAGGCCCCTGGAAAGAAAGAAAAGCAAACTTGAGTCCATGCAAATAAATTTGTGAAGTGCTTTAACAACATTTTTAGTTTTCAGTGAAAATCTAACTGCATATTTCCCAGAGTACTTCTGAATCGCAGTACAAGATTAGGTCAGAGGGGCGAAAGTTTCTTTTTTGCACTATCTGTGCCTGTTGGCGTAGCATTTGGGCAGCCTTCACCAGTCCCAAAGGCCCATGAGTCCTGTCCAGCTGGGCCTAGCATATGTGCTGCTAAGGCAATCCCCTAGTCTAGGTCCTTAGACCTGTTTTAGTTCAGGTCTCGAGGGTAGGCAGCGTGAAGAGCGTGGAAGCTAAGCTGCGGACAAAAAGTGGAGTTCTTGCCTCCAGCATAGTACTAGGAATTTGTCTGCCTGCCTCAGGGGCAACAGGTGAGCTGGAAGATGAGCTTCCGTGGTTCCAGAAAAAAGGCCCCTCAAAACAGCTGTTAGACCTGCAAAATAATCTTTTGCTCTATTTACCCGTATATGGAGCAACAGCTCACTCCCACTGTCAGCAGAAAGACTCACGACTGCTGCTCAGAGCCCCTCATCTCTGCTGTTCAGAAAGCCCAGTACACAAATCGTGCCGACAGCTAAGAAGAGTGAGGGTATTCCCTCCTGGAAGGAGCTTTTCCAGCAGAGCATGGACCTAAGGTAAGTTGCTGTTACACAGATGTCCAGGCCATGCATTTCCAAGCTCAGAAACACCACATTGTTACATCTCCCCAAGCCCTTGCGTGTGTATTTATTAGGAAAGAGAAGACATGCTCTCCGCTCCGTAGTGTGCCTGCTTCAGCACGCACAGTGCTATACGGGGAAAATTAAGGCTGCAGAACCATGCTGTAATGGGCTCTTCCTTCCATGGACTTTGCTTTTGCAGCCACTTTCTTAGTAGATGTGACTTTAAAAATCCATTGCTGAAAGAATGCAAGTCAATTTGCTGCAATTCTGCTGCATTTAGAGCAAATGCAATCACCTACTCTGCAAGCTGCCAGTGCAACCATTTCTGAGAGCTTGTTAATTAACTCAAAGTACCTGACTGAAGAACAGGCTGGAACTGGCCGGACATGCAGATTTCTTCCTGCTTCTGACGCACAATGCGTTGAATGGCTGGGGGGAGGCCACGGGGGTTGCGTGAGAAGATCAGGGAGTAGCCATCATCACAGGAGCCGTCCTCTTTCAGGCTGCGGCAGGCATAGGTAATGGCATAGTTATCATAGTCGGTGTCAATCACCCAGTAGTTGTCCCCTGAAACGTCAGAGCATTTGTGTTTGTCGTGATGGACAAAACAAGCCAAAGGTGGACGTGCTCGTCCAGGAGAGAGATGCAAGTTGTTTCTGCAACATGTGGCAGGGATGGCTTCCCAAAGGATATAAGGTCACCTCCCACATTTTGCTTATATCCACACTGTAAGATGAAGAACTGGGACAAACAAGGTGTGTTCTGAATTCACCTTGCTCCCCACCAGGTCATTGCAGTACATGTCAGTTATGCTGAGAAAAAGCCAGTGCTGAGTATCTCTGATCAGGCTGAGCATTGTCCCATCATTGCCTGATCTCCACCCTGCAGCTGAGGGCACAGGCAAGCACCAGTGGTACCTCTCAACAAGACAGACTCTTGCTTAGACAGGATTTGAGGTTAGTACATTTTCACCTGCAATTTCTTAGTTTAGTAGTGTTCACAGGATTATGCTTTGATGATAAAAATCTCTCTATATTTCTTGCCCAGGTGTGGGTGAGGGTGGGGGTGGGGGGCAAAGGCCCGATAGTTCACATTTCCTGTGCAAAAAGCTCCAGTAAAACATGGCTCCTGTTTTCCAGCCTTCTTAATCAAGTTTGGTATGGCTTATCTGCCAGTTCTGAAAGTATGTATTTCTTTGTTATGCATTAGCGAGCCAAATCGTGCCCGCTTTCCAAAGCAGTGTCCCATAGCTAAGGGAAACTCATGCAGGAAATATGGGCTGTGTAGGATGCATTAGTGAGGTTCAGCTCAAGGAGTTTCTTCAAGGGGTACTTCAGTTAACAGCTCAGGGTTGTCTCCAGCTGTATCTGTCTGACAGGATCTGTGCCTTGCTACTAGGGTGCAAATTCTGGTCCATGTGTCGTATCCCATTAGCTATGAGGAGTGCAAAGACGGGCCTGACCTGCCTGACGGGCACCTTTATAATGCCCACCCTGGGCCTCAGGAAGTACTGGGCAGCTGTGTTCAGCTGTATGAAATTTATCTGCACTGCCCATTCTCTCTAAGCTGTATCTTCCCTGTTGATCAAACCAGTGGATAGGTGGGTCCCATGAGGAGGCTCTGGATCCTGCCCCTTGTATGGAGATCTGCACTCCATACAAGAAGAAAAGCACTGCTTGGGAAAAGCATACCTCTCTGAGGACGCTTTGTCTCCACTTAGAAAAATCTTGAGTTCAGCTGCTTTTCCTGCCCATATACTGAAATACACAAGTCTGGGCAGCTATAAGCTATAGACCAACATTTTGGGGGATATAACGGCGGACTGTGTATTGAGCAGCCATGTCAGCACAGATCACCCAGAACCTGTAATGAGATCCGCAGGGCTGAAGGTAAAGCCCTGCTCAGTGAATGCCCCGGAACATCCTCGTGCAGGACTCGAGCAAGCACCAGGCTACCACGCAGGGTAATTGCTTCAGGCACGGTCATGGCCTTTCTTAATACAGCCTGGCTTTTGGTCATCAAGGAAAAGCAAGGCTGTGATGTCCCGTCAATGGCAGCGCACGGTAACCAATGCACACTGTGGTTGGGGCATTGTTTGGATCTTCCTCTGGGTCAGCATACTTTTAAGTGCTCATTTGGGTGCAAGTGGGCAACCGCCATGCAAAACGGTGAACGTTTCTTGCCTCCCTGCCAGGAGTTTGCAGAGCGAACTGACCGGTGTTTGTGCTCA